AGAGCCTGAACGGGTTTCGAAGCGGAAATCCCGAAAAGATAGAGATATCAACACCCAATGCTTCCACTTTGCAGAATGAGGCCGGGACACGGCAACGGCTTAGTTCAGTGGAGCTGGGCTACCCACAGAAAAACCTGCTACGTGGCTTCTGCACATGATTGAAAAGACCTTCAACGTGGTCTTGCTTATTTTGGTCAAGCACCAAGATGGCACATGAGAGGGCAACATTCAATCTGGAACAGCCAAGGGCGCTGTAGACGAGGCAGCCAAACAACGCTAACCAATGCACAGAACCGCATAGAGCTAAAGTTGGAGGTTTTAGGGCTCAGGGCTTCGCAGCGCGTTTAGGGTTTAGTGCATTGAATGCAAGAGGAGCCGTCTAGTCTCATCATCATAAGAAGGCATGAGGGGTGTCCCACATCGATAAGGCGCATGAAATGGAGCTTTATTCAGAACACCTTTCTTTCTGTCCCGAAGCCAAATGTCCTTCGCGAAGTACAGGCGGTCTCGGTAGACTCCATCGGCATAGCCCCTGGCAACAACGAGCACGAATGTGGTGTTTCTCGGTTTCCCACAGATGGGCGCCAATCCGCTTGCCGTGGTAAGTCCACTACTATTGGCGATGACACATGCCAAAAAATATCGCAGACAATCACAGCTGACGGACAGTGCAAATGCTGAAACTGGGGAGCTGCAGCGCACTTGCGGCTGCAGGACCCTTGGAACACCCCGACGTGTTGAATCCACTGCGTAATCTTTCTTGACTCCCAGCTGCTCCACTTTGGGTTGAAAGCGCTACTGCTGCTGCTGCTGCCTCTTGCTCCTACTGCTGCTCCTTCTGCTACTACCGCCACGGCGAATACGCGCGAAACAGTCACCGCCACCAGCCTCCCAAGCAGCGGCGCCTGCTGAACTGCTGAACTTCAAACCCTAGGCCTATAGGCCCTATAGGCCCCAAGACTAGGCTCCCTTTCAAGGGTTCCGTGAAAGGGTACTATATCGGTTCATGTACGGGTTGCTATAAGGGCTCTCTAGTATAGCATAGTACCGAGGCTTCATAGACAGAAGCGGCTCACTGAGTTGTGCGCTCAGGGCCACCATAAATCCTTCGCACCTTGAACCCTGACCCTGTAGAGTGAGCCCTATAACTCCCCCTATACTAGGCTCTTACCTTACAGTGCCCTTTTGGTGATTATCCCTGATTTCTACGTAAACCCTAAACCGTTTAGCCCTAAACCCTAAACTCCAAACACTCCAGGGGCACAAGATGAGATTGAAGGTTTTCGCGAGGATGATCGTGGCGAGGCCGGGGAGCACCGACCAGGCCTTGGAACTGCTGGCTGAAGGATTTAGGGGTTGAGGGTTGAGGGATTAGGGTTTGGGGATAGGGCTGAAGGCTTAGGGGGTTGGGTGTGCAGAACTCTTGTTTGGGGTTGAGGGCTTGGGGTTCAGGCTTCGGGGTTTAGGGTCTTTAGGTTTCTTGGTGTGTTTTGGGTGTAAGGTTCAGGGCGTAGTAGTAGTAGTAGCAGTAGTAGTAGTAGTAGTAGTAGTAGTAGAAGCTTCTCGGCTCACAGTTGTGTGGGCGATGCCGAAACCTGAGGCTCTGCTTTCTAACTGTACGTTCGCTAGCAGGCCTGAAGTCTCTGAAGGAAACACGCCTGGTGACAGAGGGGCGGGGTCACCATGCTATGGCTGCTGATTGCTCTCAGAGCCCGCTTTCTTTTGAGCCTGGCTTCCTTGGATATCAGCATGGCTGCAATAAAATACACCACTGGCAACTTTCAGCTAGGCCGAGTGCTTGCTCCTACTGTATCCAACGTGCAGCCAGTCTACGAGTTGAAGACGATGTTCGCCAGAACTTCCTGCGAATGGTACTGCTGGGAATGTTCGACAGAGCTGGTGGACACAAGCAGCACCACCGATATTTCGATGAATTTGAACGTCGTTGGGCGGGACACGATCCAGAGCAGATCTTGGATGCAGCTAGCGTCTCCCTGTATGCTCCCGACCTTGAGCCTCTTCGAAAGTGGTGCAAACATGTGCACCCTGAACTGGCACACAGCTTATGGGTGCCATGGACTGTTGGCAAGCTTTGCTGCTGTCCGCTGGCCCTGCACACACTTGACTAGCCGTGTGCCCAGTCAGCAGCTCCACCCTTGCACTAAACATGCCCCTGGACGCCTCTGCCTAGGTAAGCACCTCAGACCCCGAAAGCTCAGACCTCAGGCCAGGTCCCATTCTAGATACCGACGGTTTCGAAACAGGACCCTACCCTGGAATCCACAGGTCGCTGCGAGACTCAATGCTGCCTGGGACAGCTGGCCCTTGCTGCTGGCTCCGTGCGCCCACAAGCTTCGGGGTTTCTGTCGTGTCTTGCTGCTGCAGGCAGTAGTGCCGTTGATGCAATATGCAGCCACCAGATGTGCATTCACTCAAGCTCTGAGGAGCTCCTGCCCTAAGAAGACACCTCTCACACTGCTGCATCACATTCAGCAAGCGTTCACCGGCCCACCTCTCACTGGCCTGGGCCCAACTCATGCACCACCTGCCCTGCCTCACGAACCTCTTCGGTTTAGGCCCTTGACCCCGAGTAGTTGCCTGCATCCTGCGGAACCCAGCATGGCGGATCGCGACCCCCTGCATGACGACAGGCTGGAGGAAGCTGAAGCTGACAGGCACTCAGATGATGGCTCGGTCCTCTCGACCCTCACGGCAGCCTTGGAAGCTGCTGACCGCAGTCCAAGCCCGGGACGGCTTGCTACGGGGCCCCATGGTCCTCCTCCACCTGTCCCGGTCACTCATCCGCTTGCACCTCACTATCACTATGTGCCCGGCCTGACAAGGACGTTGCCTGGAGTTATGCCAGGAGAGGACATGGCCTCAGGACCGAGGTGGTGGAGAAGCCTGGCTCAGACAGTGATGCACCACTTGCAGCTGGTTGGACCTGTGTATCTGACTGCGCCACGAGCTCTTCGAGAGGTTCACATGTGGAGGTCAGTCAGGCTTGTGCTGGCAGAGGCTGATGATGAGGCCGAGGGTGAGCGCATTGACTTTCAGGACGCGGACAATGCCCTCTTCGACCTGCCGACTAGCGGAGTTCCCCTGCACCCTCCAGGCGCCATGAACGAGGCCGAGCCAGGGGAGAATGTAGAGTCTGAGGAACATGAACATGACTCGCCCCTCTCTCCACCAGACAGTGGTGATGATGGTGCTGGAGGTGATGCAGGCCCCTCTGGCACAGGTTGGGCTGGACTCCCTCAGGCCAGCAGCAGCAGCCGACCACGACCCAGATCCTCCTCAAGGTCGAGGTCACCTCAGGGGGGCCCCAGTGGACCAAGGGCCTCTTCGCTGAGCTTGGATGATCCAGTCGGGGCCATGGCGGAGCTAGACTCAGGCGACCCGCTGCGCATGATTCATCCAGTCACGGCTACCGCTGCAGCAGAGAACCCTTTTTCTACTCGGCCTGGCGATTTGGTGTATGAAGCCGACGCGGCTAGTCGTTGCTTGGAGGCGACCCGACGCACCGTCGAGGCATTGCGAGAGGGCAACCGCCACAGACGATCAGCTGCTTCCGGCCCGACGTCGGGGTCACGATCGCGCTCTCGCTCACGGGGTGATGACACCGACAGGCCACGGGCTCCACAAACTCCCATGAGCCCCCATAATCACCTCGTTGACCCAAAACTCGGGTTGTGTAAAATATGCCCCAACAACCATAACACCAGCCTGGCCCCTGCATGGACCTACCTTACAGGTGACAAGCTCTGCCCTTCTCTCTTGAGGCATCGGAGTCAGGTAGTGACGTCAGCACACAGACTCAGCACTCTTCCAAAGCTTGGCAAAAAACGGTCCTGGGCCGTGAGTGCATGCACTGCATTGGTTACCGCTGCCAATCCTGTTGACAGCCAGCCTTCTTCGGAGCCAATCGGCACCCCTCTGCCACCCTGCCAACTTCGCAGGTACACCTGTGCTGTGGCTCTTGAGCCCACCTTCCAGGCCTGGCTCACACTTGCAGTCTGGTTCACCTTCCTAGTCCGACCGATGCTCCAACTCGCCTCCAATGTCTGCCCTAGGCAGCCGAGACCGTGCATTTCTGCCAGCCCGTGCACCTCCCTGGCCTCTTCCTCAGACTTTGACCGTGCACTTCTCCCTCACATTGCAGTACCCAGTGTTCCACTGTGCCCAGGTCAACAGGCTTCTCCTCAGGCATCGCCATCACTTAAACCTACCAGCCGCCTGGGTCCCAATTCCCAGGGTCTCACTGCTCTGCACTTGCTCTTCTTGCTCCTTTGCATGATCATTCAACCAGCCTGTGCAGGCAGTGGGGCAGAAGCGAGGGTTGTGGTCCCAGCTGCCGGGACCGCTGAAGGTGCATACTCACCTCAGCACATTAGCTTTGCGCCGAAGCTAGGCAGTCTCCCGACTACATCCAGTCCGACTCCCAGTGCTGCTCTCAAGCGGTGTGTCAAACGATCCTTTAGACGTGCTGTATGAGAGCCATGACACAAGGAACCACGACCTATCGAGGCCGAGCTTTCAAAGCACAAGAGGTCCCTGACTCCATTCGACAGTCATTTGTGTACAGCAGACCTCAGCCCCGCACACGTCAGAACCCTGGCCGTGGTCTTCGCATCTTCTGCTGGAATGCAGGAGGCTTGGGAGGCGGCCTGTATCCAGAGCTACTCACCTTCTTGGAAAACTCTCAATATGATGTTGCCGTGACCCTCGAAAGTAAGTGTCAGGAATGTATGGAATATACCACCGGCCAATGGTCCTGCATTCACTCCGGATGCAAAACTAGGAAGCAGGCAGGGGTGCTCATCTTGGTGCACCACAGGCTTGCCCCTCCTTCACAATTACGTTTCGAGCATATCCTGCAAGGTCGCTTGTTACATGTGCGTGTGCCTCTCACAGGCAAGGACTCTAGACACATTCACCTTGTCGGAGTCTACCAGAAAGCATATGATCAGAAGACTACTTCCCTTGAACAGCGACAGCAGGTATGGCAAGCCATTGATCGCTGCATGTCCCGGATCCCGGCCAGGGACTCGTTGGCCCTCATGGGGGACTTCAACACCCCACTCAAGCCTTGTGCACCTCATGTAGGAGCTCACACCAATCCGCTCCCGTGCCATCCCCCAGAGGACATGGATGATTTCATGGCACTGCTCGTTACTTATGATCTTGTTGCATTGAATACCTGGTGCAGGACCATAGATAAGAAATTGCCCTCAACCTTCAGATTCCAGGCCACTGAGTCTCAGATTGACTTCATCCTGACACGTCGTCCTGATGCCACACACCAGGCCCGCAGAGCTCGGGCTTGGCGAAATTTCCACGTGGGAGCCTCGAGACACAGTGGAGCAATACACTTTCCACTACAAGCCCTCCTCACCTTGCGATGTCCTCACTGGATACGCCAGCCAACACAGGTAAGGCCCAGCATCGACCGTGATGCTCTGCTGCAGGCCCTGGACCATCCCACCGAACCTCAGCACCTTATGCAAATTGCTTCCATTCGTCAGGCGGTTGCCAATCACATGGCCTCTTGCCCTGCTCTTCCGGGAGTGAGCACCTTACATCATTCTTTGTTCAAAGTGTGCTCTGATGTCTTCCCGGCACAGGCAAAAACCAGACCCTCCCACACCTGGCAGGCTGCCGAAGTGCAGCATGGGGTCAAGAGCATGCGGCGGCAGTGGCGAGCCTTCAAAAAGATTCGTAAAAATGGTCTCCAAGGCTGGTTTGCTGCCTGGAAAGCCTGGCGTTCTTTCGACCGACACTATCGCGAGCACCAGCTCCGATGCCGCCAGGCCCGTCGCTCAAAACTCCTCAATGCCATGGAGGAAGCACAGCAGTGTGCCAATCGTCACGATTCGCGAGGCCTTTATCAGATTGTTAAGCGCATCGCCCCCAAGCAGCCCTTCAGGAGAATGCAACTCCGGGACCCTGAGGGTCTCATGATGTCGCCCAGTGCCGAGGCCGACCTGTTGCATCAGCACTTTCAGCAACGTTTTCGTGCCGAGACACAGGACCCACAGGATCCTGATGCGATCCACCTGGCCGGCCCCTGGACCTTGCATCAGCCTATCTCTCTTGATGCCACCACTCTCTGTGGTGCCTTTCAAACCATTCCTCGTAGGAAAGCAGTGCCTGATGGACACCCTCCGAGTGCAGCCTGGCGCCTATGTGCAGACATGATTGCACCCTGGATTTGCGACACACTAGCCGATGCGTGGATTGGCAGACCCATTCTTGTGCCACAAAGTTGGTCTGACGTTGATTTAGCTCTGATCTTGAAACCAGAGAAATCTGGGCACAAGCCTAATGACTATAGACCCATCGGACTTTCCTGCCCGCTTGGTAAAAAGATTCTCAGATGTATCCTTGAACCCCATATGGATGACATTCTGACCCAGATTCGTCGCTACCCCCAATTTGCTTATCAGCAGGGAAGGTCACAATACGATGCACTCAGAAAAGTCTTTGCACATTGTGCCATGGTTCGAACTGAACTCCGCAAACATCACAAAAATTTGCATCATCAACATGCAGGCACAAAACCGGTCCCCCTCTTTGGCAGTCTGATGATTACGGTAGACCTTTCCCAAGCTTTCGACAAAATGCCACGAGAGCCCCTTTACCAGGGCATGGTCAACCTTCAGCTGCCAGCTGACTTAATTGCGGTCATCATGGCCTGGCATGCACACATACGGTACACCGTCCACCACTCAGGTGAAAGCCGCACCTTTGATGCCACGAAAGGCATACGTCAGGGCTGTTCTGCCTCGCCATTGTTGTGGCTGATCTTTTCCCACGCCATCAGCTGTCGCTTGGAAGGCTACATCTCCTACGACAGAATCTGTGCCATGCTTACCATTTTTGCTGACGATTACCATGTGGCGGGGACCTTTTCCTCGCTGCATGAGCTCGAACAGCTCTTAAGCTGCATCACGGCTCTTTTCAAGGTCCTCAAAGCCTTTGGTATGGAGGTGAGTGATGCCAAATCACAAGCAGTGCTGGCCCTCAGAGGGTCACTGGGACCTTCAATCCGTCGCAAGTACGTCTGTAAAGGCCCTGATGGCCCCATCCTTCGCATACCACTTCTTGGTGGCAGTCTCAGAATCCCGATCGTCCCACAGTTTCGGTACCTAGGCACCCAAATTAACTACACATCGTTTGAGAATGCCACGCTCGAGTTCAGGCTCCAAAAAGGAGATGCAGTATATCGTCGACTCGGCACGATCCTGAAAGGGAAGCACTATCTTAGTGAAGGACAGAGAGTTCGCTTGTGGTGCGCATGCATCTGGACGACAATCTCATACGGTCTGATAACATGTGGGATCACCCCTGCCGGACACCGGCTCCTTGAAACTAGAGTGGTTCGTCAACTCAGGTCTATATTGCGGCTCCCTGTGCACCTGACCTACAAGACCAACACCGAAGTCATGCAACAGGCTGGGCTGCAACTCCCTAGCCTTATGCTGGTGTCTCTGCTGACACGGGAAGGACATCGCAAGCAATCCACTTTGGATGCACATGTATGTCTACCGGCCAGCTCCTGGTGGAGCACAGTGATGCACAGCCTCCATCATATGCCGGAATCCTCACAATTGATCTCGGTACAGACCCCTACTAAGCCCCAGACCTGTCCTGAATGTGGGATTTCATATAGCACCCGCGCTGCACTCCTGACCCACCTAGCCAAATGCCACCCGGAGAAGGCTGCAGCTGCACCTCCTGAACCCTATCAAAAAGCCCTGGACTCACTAGGAGGATTACCCCAGTGCTCGCATTGCAAAAAGAAGTTCTCCACCTGGCAGCTTCTTCAACGACATGTTGAGGGTAACTACTGCAGTGTGAGACATTCGTTTCTGCCGCAACCCTTGACAGCGCCTGACAAGCCAGAACAGCCAGTGCAGCCCGTACCGCCAGTCTTTTCAGACACCCAGCTTCAGCAACTCCTTCATAAGTATGCTGCCAATGCTATTTTCCACATTTCACATAAACAGCGGTACAGGCAGCACTGCCTGGTATGTGGACAGTGGGTTGCCTCCTCCAAAGTCATGAAGCTGCACTACCAACACAGCCACCCGCAGCTCATGCAACAACACAATCACAAAACACCTGCCTTGTGTGCATCATATACAGGATGTGGGAACCCGTGCCTGTACTGTCATACGTCAGTTGCCATCCCCAGACTGCATAAGTTTGCCTGCACTGTTCTGTGTGCAGCTGATGGCGGCCCTGGATCAGGAGATAAAGGAAGTCTTCGGGGACCTGGCCCAGAACAGCCTTCAGGGCTTCGGCGATGCACTGTTTGGGACGGGGAGCCCACCTCCGAATGTGGGGCCTCCCACCAAAGCTGCCAAGCTGGAGGGAGCACCGGGCAAGCGCCAAAGACCCTCAGACAACGGAAGCTCACCTGGTTCCCACAATCAGTGGGGCAACAACAAGGGCCGGGGCAAGGGCAACAAGAACCAGCCTCAACTTCATACCCTGGTGCATGCTATGGGGCGACTCATCATTCGACAAGAAACACAGCTCCAAATCCTGAAGCAGAACTCAGCCTGGACCTTGTACCTCAAGCCGGGCCCCTCGGGGCCAGTAGCTCTACTGTACAAGACGGCAGAAAAGTACACGGAGGAGTCGAAGACAAAGTTCATGGACACCCCGGTTCGAGCTGTACTCCTCCCCTCGGTTCTCTTCAGGACATCAGCAGCAGTCAGGAGAAGCAAAAGGTGCTCCAGGAGAAGGGTTGGCTCAACCAGGACGGGCTCTGGAATTACCAGAGGTGGGACGGGGAACAGCAAGCTCTGGTGATCGACGAAGCACGCCAGCCTGTGAATCATCAGGACTTGATCGGCAAAGTGGGTCAATTTGCCGAGATAGTCTTGAACAAGGATGTCATACACAGGTTCAATGCGACGCACTCCCTGTCCATGAACAAGACAGGCACCAGCACATTTCTGCTGGAGGTGGGACTGCGAGCGCAGGGAGTGGAGCTGGCCTGGGCAATCCTGGAGGCGATCTCAGGCCTCTCAGCTCTTCAGGTGATCGGGCTACAAGTCCGGAGGGAGGGCCTTCGCCGTGGGGGCCTTGCCAACGACGTGCAGAAGCTTCTGAATGCATCTGCAGGCTGGAGTTGCATAACCCATCCAACCAGTGCTACATGAATGCTTTTGCCTACATGTACTTGTGGTGCCATCATCGGCTGGAGGCTCCTGAATCTCAGCTTTTTGGTGACAAGATTCAGGCTTGGCGTGACATTCTATATACATCTCAACGGCCACTCACCATCAGCAGGCTACCTTCTTGGCGAAGCTTGTTGAAAGGTTGGAGGCAGCCAGCCTCCCAGCATGATGTTGTAGACTTCATGGAGCACGCTTTTCGCATTATGATGCCACCTCAGTTACAATATTCCTGGGAGGCCAGACTGGGTACACCGCAGGGTATTGTTTGTCAGGACCGAGGCCTCCTTTCTTCTCCTATTGTTATGCACCTGGACACAACACATCGTAGCTTGCAGGACTGCATCAATGCGTGGAGTCATCAGGCTCACCCTCATGCCCTGTCCACGGCTGTCAATGTGCTCATCATCCAGTTGGCGAGGTACCGCTGCAGAGGGGGCTTGACGTTCAAGAACCGTCAAGACGTGGCCATTCCGGCTACTCTTCAAGTTCCGGTCTTTGGCCGAGGCCTTCACACTTTTCAAGCTGTGTACTCTGTGGCAGCGATCATCCTACATCATGGTGCGCATACTCACGCCGGCCATTACACTGCAATCTTATGTGATGGCAGGGGCAAATTCTGGGAAACAGATGATGGTCGTCAGGCACGGCCCAGCGAGGGCTTGCCAAGCAAAGCATCATGCGACGGATATGTGGTTGCACTGATTCGCAGGTGCTAACCACTCTTCTGACATTTTCTTGGGGCTGGCATCCTGAACTGCGGATGCCATGCTGCAAACTGCAGCTTCCTTTATCTGGGTAGGACACCGCCTGCTGGCACTAGTGCCGAGGCATCAGGCTCCTGAAATCAGGAGTGCACCCTAGAGGTGCCGGCATTAAATGCTGCTCTTTGGGACGCCTAGCGAAGACCTTTCGCTGCGAGGGAAGAAGAAGTAGTAGTAGTAGTAGTAGCAGCAGCAGCAGTAGTCGTCGTCGTGTAGGGTTTGGGGTTTCCAGAGCTCGTAGAGTTGAGGGGCTTAGATTTGGGAGTTGAGGTTATGCAGTGATTTGGCTCGGTCGCGGTGTTGGGCGGGTTGATAATATTGTGTATTTGGTATGAAAACAATGGCAGTAATTCTAATGGAGAGAATGGTAAGAACACTAGGACTCGCAAAGATAACCGCCACAATGCACACTGCTCGCTCGGTATCCAGGGTTCAGCCAGGGGTATGGCAAAACTGTGGTTTTTCGGTTTGGCACAGGTGTGCATCTCTGGCCAGGGTTCAAAATCTTTCGGCGTGCTTGGACTGTGCCGTGCTTGCGGCACACGTACATGCACATGATAGGAGCTCGTGCTGGTTGGATGCAGGAGCCGTAGCTTAGTGCAAGCAAAGGTCCAAAGGTAGATGCTGGCGAGAAGTGGCTGTGTGTAGAGTTTGAGGGTTTCTGGCTTATAAGTTTGAGATTTGATTTACTCTAACAAACTGTACGATGCAGGAGCCATGATGGTCATGCTGGTGATGACAAACTGGCCGGGCTTGTTGTGAGATTCTGCCTCTCAGCTCAGGCCAAAGCTAAGTTCCCGGGTTCAAGCTTCTGCATCTTTTTTTGCCACCCGCTACAGCAGCAGCCACTTTGGGGTCCGGTCGGCATAGTCTTGGTAGCCTGACATGGCGGGGGCACAAACCTACGTCATTGCTTGTGCTATTCCTCTTATGTTACTTTGTTATAATTCTCAGTTTTATCCTAACTAACGTTGTGACGATAATAACTTTTATCCTGTTGAAGACAGATGCCAACCTGCTGTTGTCGGCTTAGGGTTGTGGTGTTGAGGGCTTTAGGGTCTCGAGATTCAGTTCATTATCCCGGCTAGACGAGGTGTATGTGGATTTGCACGCACGCAAACCCGCGCCAAAGTACGACAGCATGCGCATGCATATCTGTGTAGGTAGGTAGATCTGCGGGCACACACACAGAGGCATTCACTAGTGATTGAATGTCTTGCTTGTTTGCGCTTCATATATGCCTGCAGTACTGGAAGCACTGCATGCAGGTTTCCTTGCAAAAACACTTGTAAGTAGATTTAGCGTGTACAGCTTGTCAGCCATGTTCCAAAGGATGAAATAACACAAACTCGGCAGTCACTAGCTCTCATCGAAATAATTCCATGCTCGCGGCATACACATGCACAGTGTTATGGTCGACGGCTACCATAGATCATTATTATATTATATTATATTATAT